ATCTAGAGGGCACATGACTTTTTGGGTTCCCAGATCTGAGGCTGGAGACCAAGCTCCCACCTTGAAGTTGGGAGTTTGCAGTTGTATCTCTTGCTCTCATCGCTGGCACCCTGAGGTCAGAAAAGGAACCTCAGAGACAGTGTAAAAGGGTGGGAGGTTTGCCAGGATTTGACGAAATCAACCATTTTACTACTTTGTACAGCTGTGGCAACAGGGAGCTGGCTAATTAACAACAATATTCGGTTTCTGTTTGTGGCAAGACCAGAAGTTATCCAAGAACGTCATAAAATCTCTCAGACATCTTTTCTTCCATCCCCACTAATTTCTCTTCCTAAGATAAACATGGCTGATTCGTTTATCAAATACAGGAAGAGATCAATTCTCCTTGAAAAATGACATCGCCCTAAAGGAGCGCTCTGTTTACAGCAATGGACAGCCAGATCATCTCTGGTTGGTTCATTCAGGAGCCCAGCTTTGCACAGGAAATTGGCTGCATTGATGCTCAAGCTACAAGCACGATTCAGCTGAAAGCACCCACAGACCTTGCAGTCTTGACCAGATGTCCAGCAAAAGGAAATGGAGATGCGAAAGCGTTGTTTGGCCCTAAATCCTTCCAACCATTTCCGCACTCAGAACCATGCCCTTGACGGATTGGGACTAAAGCTCCTTGAACTCAGGAGGCCAGGACAGCAGAGGGAGATGAGATGGGAAACAGGACTGCTCCACCGGTCCTTCAGAAAGACTTTGCTCTTCTCCTTCATTACTTCCCGCAAAGAAATATATGTGCAGAGGTGAAACCTTCCACATTTTCCTTAATCGTGATGATTACCGAGCAAGGCAGGCCCATTCCTGGCAAAAGGGAGCCAACTATTTCTGATCTCAATGTTACGGATATCCACAGATTATTTTCTCTGCCTGATGAGTGCCTTTTTCTGGACAGCTTCTTAATGAGCATCCTGGAAAGGTAATTTTGTCCATGTAAAAGCAAAAACATTTTGAAGGTTGCTTTTATGGATCGTGTGATCCCTCCTTTTGGGGGAAGCTTTATGCATTACTTAGGGAACTTTGCCCCCTACCAAAAGAGAGTAGCCTCTGTTCCCAACTCAGTTACGTGTGCTAATCCCTAAATTCAATGCATCCTTCCACGCTGTGAAAATCCACCGCTTGTGCTGTCACAACAAGTAATTGTTCCATTCAGTGCCAGCTCCAGCTTTTTGCAGCTCCTCAAGGGGTCTCCTCTATCAGAGAATGCCCTTTTCACTGGCTTGGCCACCAGCAGCTTTTGCTCCTCCTCCTCCTCCTCTTCATCACTGTGGCCAGTTGCTCACTTAACAGGCCAAGAGCCAGTGGGCAAGGTAGCTATGGCACCTGCTAGCCCTTTGTCCCACGGCCAGGGGGGAGTGGACAAGCCAGTTGCAATGGGAAAGAGGAGGAGCAGGTGGGAAGCTGGGAGCTTCTGATGGGTGGTGGGTTCTCACAAGTGCCCAGTCAAGCCTTCCCTTGATGTTCACTCTCATTTCTATGTTTCTATTTCACGGGAGGTGGTGGAAGCCCCATCCGTGAGGGTGTTCAAGAATAAGCCGGACATGCACATGATAGGTATGTCATGACCACAGCCAGCTGGAGCCGGGGGTCAGACTAGATGGCCCGGGAGACTCCTTCTGACTCGCTCTGTTTCTATTCGGTTTGATTCTGCATGGGTCAAGATGGTATCTGGACAAATGCGACCAGTTCTGGGCGCCCCATTTTAAGAAGGACAGGAGCAAACAGAAGAGTGCCCAGAGGCGCATGAACAGACCAGCAAGATGAAGAGAGCCAGCGTGGTGTGGTGGTTAAGAGCGTGGGACTGGGACTGGGACGATCTGGGTTCGAGTCCCCGCTCAGCCATGGATCCAAGTGGGTGACTTTGGGCCAGTCATAGACTCTCAGCCCAACCTACCTCACAGGGTTGTTGTTGTGGGGATAAGATGGAGGAGGAGAATGATGTAAGCTGCCTTGAGCCCTTTGTAGGAAAAAGGCAGGATATAAATTGGAAATACATAAATGTCTGGAAACCATTCCTATGAGGAATGCTTGAAAGAGCTGGAGATATTTCCTTTGGAGAAGATAAGGGGAGATGTGATTAAGGGGAACTCTGTCACACAGTGATTACAATCTAAAAGAGACACTTAGAAATGGGGTGGGGGGGATACAGGCTGTGGGAGTTTCCTACATATTTCTACCTGGCTTTCCTTTTGGGAAAGGATCCTTAGTTATGGATGAACGGTAAGTCCATTTTCCTCTTCTATCCCCACCCCTTTGGACTTGCATGCCATGTGCTTTTAGATTGTAAGCCTGCAGCAGAGACTATCTTGTTTAACTGCTGTCTACATAAGTTGCTCTACGAACCTTTTTGGCTAGAAATAGGAGAATGATTAATAATAAATCATATTAATGTTAATAATAAATACATTGGCAGTTGTTTGTATTTAAAAATATGCAGTTATTTAACCCGAAGCACTGTCCAAAATCTGCTCACAGAGAGGACCTATTTTTCTATTTGTTCAGACTGGGAAACAGTTATAAATGGACAAAAGAAGAGGAATAATTTATAGGGTAACATCACATGACCTTCATACTACTTATCTAAACACTATTGTTCTTGTGGCAGAGACTATGGGACAATGGTCCCAGTACTTTCATTTTCAAAGGTTAGAACTTATCTACACAGCCATACGGGAAAAATGGTTTGTGCTGTTGACATTTCCCAAGGGAATGGCTCAAAATGTGAAATAATGATGGGCCGGATCCTTAGGGAAGCTTTCCCTGCTCAGTCTTTCCTTAGATGCCTTCCCACATTTTGCTGCTCAAGTTCATTTTACTGGGGGACATGCAGAATAATTTGCTATGTACCTAATCTGAATAATAAGGATGGCAATGCAATACTTCTGAAATGGCTGCTCTGTTGTTGTTATATTTGAGTCTTTTTATTCTGGGTTGGGCAATCCTATACTTTCCAGAAGTGTTACTCTAAAAGTTCCAGCTAACATGAGCAGTGGCTTGGAATTATGAGGGTTGTAATCCAAAACCATCTGCAGGATATAAGTCTCTGCTAGGGAAATTCAGATAAATCCTGGCAGAAAAATGTTGCTTATACACGCAGTTGTATTTTAAAAATACCTACATCCTTCTCTCAGAAAGTACAAGAATCCCAAGGCAGGTTACTATTTAGCCTTTGCTGTTACTTTAAGAAGTCGGAATGCATGGCGCACCTGAGAATTGATCAGTATTAGCTGATAAGGCTTGCAATTACCCTAATTTGCAGGAGAAGACTGGCAATGAATCCTGATTGTTATAGCAATGTCCTGTAATCAGTGGTATTGTACTGAGCCCCCTCTGCAGGCCTCGCATCTTCTTTTGACCACGTGCCCCTTATTTTGTCATTAACTGCCCAGCTGCTGGGCCCATGTGACTCAGAATCTATAAATCACTCTGTACGTGTTCTGGAAGCTCTTAGTTGGGCTGGCCTCTGCTGAGCGGCGGTGTAGTAAGTGTGGTTTCCTTGTAGGGGGTCCCTGGGTGGTCTTTCAATAAACTGCTGACGTTCAAGGGGGAAGGCGTCTTTCCTTACTCAACCTGCCTATCCTGTCTCGCGGCTGCTATCGGGACACCCTTCCGGCCACGGGTGAGAATGTTGCTACAGAGCAATTCTGAATTCATCAAGATTTGAAAAATTCTCTGTTCTCAGGACAAAAAATTGAGGTTAAAACATTTGTATATGGGGGAAAATGAACCTGACAAATTTGTCTATCCAGACCCAGAGCTTTGAGTGCCTTGCTCTTGAAGGATTTGGTTTCAGACCCCATGAATTCAGGGGACGTTCCGCGGCCCAGGTCCAAAGTCAGCATTTTAGCCTTGGGGAAGGAAAGCGGAGCTCTGAGCCACATGTCCTTGCAGCAGGTGTGGAAGAAATCATGATGGCTGCCCCACAATTTCAGGCAAGTCACTTTGGGGAGGGGTAAAACAGGGTGTGTTGGTGGGCGATGAGGGCGTATGGTTTATCCTGAAGCTTCTTCGAATAGTCTGATTCAGCCATCCCCTCTGAAATGCTTCGGCTGGACAGGCAAAAAAGCCGATCTAGCAAAATATGCTGAGCGGGAGATTAGAGATGCGGAGGTCACTTCTGCCAATTGATACTGGGAGTTGTAGGATTGGTTTATGGCTAAGCATATATAGTATTGCACCTTAAGAGAAGCATTACAGAGACAGACATTTAATGCACAATCCTATCCATATTTAGACAAAAAGCGCTACAAATCCCAGCATCCTCTGGGCAGCAAGGCTGGCTGGAGCATGCTGAAAGTGGACGATTTTTTTTCCTGCCTAAAGGTGCCTAAGATATAGTGCCTTAAGAAATGTATCATGGAAGAAATGTAATTACAGCATCATGCTAGGTATGTCTAAGGGGAAAGAAATCTATCAGCTTCTGCATCCCCCAGACAGTATAGATTGTTGGGACGTACAGGGAGTAGAACGACCTTTCTGTTCTAAAAAGCAGAAAAGTTATTGCGATCTCACACAGACAGAATACAACCCACAGCTAGTTGGGGCATGCTGGGAATTGTAGGCGTTTTGCCTGCCCCAATTTGCATAGGAGTGCACCCAAAGAAATTCTGGGAGCATGGCGGGCTGGGGCATGCTGGGATCGTCAGGCCCTATTTAAAGTCTAAACATATTTGTAATGGTGCCTTTATTAATGAATGTGTGCCTCGCCTTTCTACCAAGAGAACTGTCACTCGGTGAGAGAGAATGCAGAAGGCAGCCAAGCACATCCCTCCCCATCCCCCGAAAAGAGGGAAACAGAGCATCACGCTATGGAATTTGGGGGAGGCGGCGCTCCAGGACGCCCTCTCTATGGTTTTCGCCTTGGGAGCCTGTTAAGGAAGGCGGGGAGGGAGCGTAGAGCTGGCATGGCTAGAGTGCTCGCTGAGGCCTGTGGGATTCGGGTGGAGCGGCGGTTCTCGGCTCCATCCTCTCTGTCCTTCCGGATTGCTAGGCCCGGCGGGCGGCTGGAGCGCTTGACAGGGAGGCGGCACCGGCGAGGGGGCTCTGGGGCGAGGTAAGGGGGCTTTTCGTCTTCCTCTTCCCCGCCTCGGGCTTGCTTTTTTAATCTATAGCTGGGGGGGAGAGCCCTCTTCACCTCCCCCCCCCCCGGTCTAGGGCGGGTTTGCGAAGCAGGGGGCAGACAGACGGACAGGCGTGCGGTGCGCGGCGGGGGGTGTCGGTGCGGTGGGAGCCCCGCGTGCTTGCCCGGTCGAGGCCGTGAGGACGGGGTCCCTCCTTTCCTGGCGGGCAGATTGCGGGAGAAGGAAGGCTTGTCTCGGGTCTCAGGAAAGCCTTCCACGTGCCCCTCTGTGATTTTGTTGATTATATTTCCCCGCCCCGTCCCCGTTTCCCTTTGCAAAGCACCTGGGGCGGCTTGCACGAGCCTTTCCCTCTCCACTTTATCCTCCTAAGGACCCTGCAAGGTGGGCTATTCTGAGACTCGCCCAAAGCCACCCAGTGAGCTTCATTATTTGTCATTATGTGGTGCAGTGGTGAAGAGTGTGGGACTGGGACTCGGACGATCTGGGTTCTAGTCCCCGCTCAGCCATGGAGCCAACTTTGGGCCAGTCACAGAGACTCAGCCCAACCTACCTCACAGGGTTGCTGTGGAGATAAGATGGAGGAGGAGAATGATGGAAGCTGCCTTGAGCCCTTTGTCGGAAAAAGGCAGGATATAAATTGAATAAATAAATAAATTATTGCATTGCATTCATATCCTGCTGTGATTCTTCTTGCAAGGAGCCCAAAGTGGCTTACATGGTGTTCTTTTTCTTCATCCTGACCAGACAGGGACTAGAACCCTGGCCCACACTCCCAGCTCTGCACCGGTTCTCAGTCTTGCCTCTCAATCTGGAGTAAGGCATTTTCTTTTGGCATTTCTTGTTTTTAAACAATCTCATCTCTTTTACTTTTATGTTCCATCTTTTTCCTGGAGCACAAAGTGGTTTAGCTGGTCATCCTTTTATCCTTACAACAACCTTGTGAAGTACACTAGTGTGAAAATCAGCATCCTTCCCAAAATCACCTGGGAGCACCATGGGTGCATGAAAATGAGAACTAGGATCTCCCAAACCACCAGTCTAGCACTAACCACTATGCTATACTATTAATGATAATTTAAAAAGTAGAACAGCTCATGCCATGCAGGAAACTCCCAGGCTATTTTACTAGCTTTCACCCCATGAGAATGCTTAACCCTTTCCCTGGGGATGGGGGGAAGTTCGTGGTGGTTTGGAAGGTAGGATTGTAGGTTTTTGGTGGCTGTAAGCAGGAGTCCCCAGATGAATTCATTACTGCTCTCATGACCCTGAAAATGCTTCTGCCAATGGGAATAAGGGGTGTCAGCAGTTTATTTTACAAAAGACATCTGCCTCATTTGCAGATCCTAATGCCATCTCTTAACTGTTAAAAATTTGTGGGGTGTCAAGTGGTCTAACTTTATCCAGTTTAAGTTTCATGGCTGAATTATTTGAAGCTGAGTTGTGACACTCTGACCTTCTAGACTGCACTTCCTAAACATCTCTGGCATCTCTAGTTAAATGTTTCAGACAGGGTAGAACCCTCTTCCTGAGTTTCTGGGTTGGTCATCCAAGTGGACAATATGTGGCTAGGTAAAGAAACAATCTGGTGTAAGGCATCTTATAGTATTCTGGTAAGGTTCAGGCAAAAATCAAACTGGTAGTGTTTTCTCTGGTACTGCATTACAGGATGTGTGAGGTAATGAGAAGTTGAAAGCTTCACCTGGTAGATTTTATTTATTAATTTATTAAAACATTTTTATGCTGCCCCATTCGCCGAAGCATGGTTTATTGCCCATCTTTGAAGAGCTGTCCTGTGGATTTTTCTGATAGGCCTTCATTAAACAGATGTTCCACGTAAATGTATATGCAGGATAAAGTTATATTTGGGATGCTTTTGGATCTTAACAGTCTTTTTTAGCTGCTTGGGAATGCAGTAGCAGCCTCTCTTTTTTGTCTTTATCAGACAAATTCAGCAGGTTATTTTACCTGGGAAATATCTTTGGGACTTTTGGATGGAAGGTGGAAAGCTTTCTGTGGTGACTACTGGCATGATATACTGCTTTAAAATACACATTGGGAACAAGGTGTGGTTTTTTGGGGGTATGTTTGCATCATTTACAAATTCATTAAGATGCTGAACTCCAGTGTGTGCTGGAGTTCGGATTAGAGAATTTGGCAGAATTAGCACTTCTGATTCTATACTGCAGTGTCTAAATCTGGAATAATCTTCTCTCTCCTCCTATGAAGGACACTGTTCATTTACTTCTGAAGTTTAGGCATGAATTGAGCTGTTCAGGCACGTTTTATGCAGTACGATCCCTTACCTGGGAACTTTCAGTTTGAAGAAAGGAAAAGTCTGTGGCCAGTGAACCTCTTTCAGTCCATTTCTATCCAAATTCAGTTTTGGATAGTCGGGAAAATTAGCCGTTTGGGGAGAGGTGATGGAGTCTGGGAAAAGGACTCATGGCTGTCACAGGTGCCCCAGAGGAACAGACTGGGACCCCAGGTGGGATGAATTCGACCCACAGATTTAATACTGTTGGTTTATGCATTTGGAAACATTAGTGAATAGTCCTCCTAGTTGTAGCCAAACTGGATTTTTTCCCCCTGTGGAGAGCAGTTTTCCATGTTGAAACCCTGACAGCTTCAGGATCTGCCCAGAGGTAGCACAGAATGTAGTTTGAAAATTAGCCCCCTGCCCCCATTTACTCCTTCAGCAAGAAGGAATTTGACTATGGATTATGTCTTGCCATTTTGACAACCATTCATAGGCCTTCTCTTGATGCATCTGCTTGTTGTTAGTTGCAAAGTCGTGTCTGACCCATTGCAAACCCCATGGGCAACACTCCTCCAGGCCTCCCTGTCCCCCACCATCCCCCAGAGTCCACCTAAGCCCACACTGACTGCTTCCGTGACTCCATCCAGCCGCCTCATTCTCTGCCGTCCCTTCCTTCTTTTGCCCTCTTTTGTTCCCAGCATTAGGCTCTTCTCCAGGGAGGCCTTCCTTCTCATTAGGTGGCCAAAGTATTTGAGTTTCATCTTCAGGATCTGGCCTTCTAAAGAGCAGTCAGGGTTGATCTCCTCTAGGACTGACCGGTTTGATCGCCTTGTGGTCCAAGGGACTCGCAGGAGTCTCCTCCAGCACCACAGTTCAAAAGCCTCAGTCCTTTGGAGCTCAGCCTTCCTTATGGTCCAGCTTTCACAGCCATACATTGCAACTGGGAAAACCATAGCCTTGACTACATGCACCTTTGTTGGCAGGGTGATGTCTCTGCTTAATCTTTTGCTATTTTTCGTTTGTGTGTGCATGCGTGTGTTTAGCATATTGTCCTGCTATACCAGAGTAAGTGAAGGGAAATGAGGGGTTAATCATATGCACACAGGTCTGCTTCTAAGTTGCAAAGAAGTCACACTTGGGAGAATCTCTAAGGCAGGCAAATTATTTGATGCTCATTTCCTAAAACTGGGAGACCACCCTTGAGCAAACCAGCACCAAAATCCTATGCGTGTCAACTCAGAAACAAGTCCTGTTGGGTACATTGAGGCTTATACCCAGCTAAGCATGTATAGGATTGAAGTCTAAGTGTGAAGCCTTTGCACACTGATTAATTGCCCTATTCTGCTCTGAGTCTTGTTATCCAGCAGATGGTTCTGCATCTCAACCTTCTCTTTTTTTTCCCCTTTGCAAATGAACTGCCAATTTGTGCTTGGCTTTGCAATTCTGAAAGCATTTTAGGAATGCCACATGGATTCAGGGCTTCCTGCTTCCCTCCCCACCCAGAGTGTCTGAGATAAGCTATAACAGGGTATAGCTTATGGCCACAAAAATGATAACTTGTAACACCGTGTCATAGAGATGGACTTCCTCAGTTCTTGCATGTATCCTCAGCATTGTCTTTAATCTGGAATAAAGAGAGTTTTAAAGCTTTTGTGGCGTGCATCCAACAGTTCTTCCTTTCAAAGCCTATAAAATGTCTTTGGTTTTGGCATTAAAAATGCATCAGGCTGCTTATTCGGTTAAAGCCAGCGACAGACATAATCACTGCTCCAAATCCCAGACATGCAGGATTTGAACAAGTAAAGCATGGATGTCTGAGCTGGGTTTTATTTGCTTCATAGCTACAAATGTTGAAGAGATATGTAGCCATCGCTGCTACTTTTTGTGACAAGATCATTGCTGTGATTGTGGCTGTGAGTGTGCCTGTGAGAGGTGGTGCTGGCCTCCAGTTTGGATGGCTTTAAAAGGGGATTGGAAAAAAAGCATGGAGGTAAAGGCACTTAGTGGCGGCTAGTCCTCATGACTGCAGGGGAACTTGGGTAGGAGGGTGCCGTTGCACTCGCATCCTGATGGTGGGATTCTGTGGGAATCCAATTTTTCACTCTGAACAGAATGCTGGACCAAGTTAACCATCCGTCTGGTCAGTGTGACTTTTATACTCTACCAGTGTATTTTTTCCCAACAGATTTGTTTTTTCAGTGACTTTATACTGGGCCCTGAACTCAAAGTTTGTTAACAGAACCGTGGGTTGAATTGAAAGAAATGGTTCCATATGGGGAGAGTGCATTCTGTCAGAGGAGAATGTCAACTCGAGTTACTAAATTGAAAGGTTCTTGAGTGCAGTTTCTTGCAAAAGCAGGTGAACTATGGACATTGCATTGACCTGATACTACACTGTGTGAACTCTTGAGCAAATGCTTTCAGAACAGGGTTTTCAGCCTTTTTCCCTCTGCTTATGTTCCTTTGGGTGCAACCCAAAGTTTTACTTTTATCTCGGAGGTTGGATAGCTGTCTCTTAAGGATACCATAATTCCAAGATTCTTGCGTTGTGTAGGGGGCTATTGGTGGATGACCCGAGGTTACTTCAGTCTCAAACAACCCCGTGATTCTACTAGGTTAGTTAATTTTGCACAGACTCTAAGTTTCATGGGAAGGCATTTGGGTTTGTAAATATAAAAAGTAAGAGTTGCTATCACATCCCTTTGCAGGGCGATG